CTACCAATGTATTCTTTGTAGAATTAGTGGGTCTAGAGGTAGACTGTTTTGGAATGTCTATTCTGAACAAAATTACCTGAGAATTCAGGATTATTGATTCTGTAAATCTCTTCTTGATTGGGAAGGGGCAGTCAATCAGGATTCACTGCCTCTTAATTAAAGTCTAAACCTGTATATCACAGCTGTTGTTTGTGGGGGGATGTGTGCATGTGAGTATCAGAAATACCTGTGGAACTTGTCATTGATGTACCCTTACTCAGTCTTTAGTGAAAAGCCTTTGATCTAAATTCCTAGTTGGAAAAAAAAGTCTGTGGTCGGTGAGCAGACCACCCAATCTCCCAGAGAAATGGATTTGGAGGCAGAGTAAACATATCCATATAGATGACCTTGGACATTTGAGTTCAGATGCTGACAGAAGTGTTTTTTTATTACAGATTGAAGTTTCATAACTATAGTGCAATGTGTTGAGGATATACAAGAGCTAAGCATTCTACCAACCAATCATTTTTCAGTTGATGAAAATAACTACCCACCAAACAGCAGAAGGTCAGATGTTCTCAGAAGGATCTGGCTGGCTTTTCAGACAAGATTTTTGTATAGCTAGATACACATTTGCATACTGCATAAGAATTCTGTTTCCAGCTTCTTCCCTTTTGGTATGTGATTATGTTGTGCTCTGATGTTTTACCATCTATTGCTCATTACACAGAGGGATATATTAATGTTTTGTAAAGATATTTTAAAGCAAGCATGTCAAACTCGCCGGCGGCTGCTAGTTTGACATACTTGCTTTAAAGTTTTTCTGGTGTAGCACATTGTTTGTGCTTGATGATAGTAAAATAAGGCTGATCCACTCAGTGTGGGTTGTGAGTTCTTTCTGTAGTATATCTGGCTTTTTCCTGAGGTTATTAGCCTTTTAGGTGTGCCACCTTGCCTTGGTCTACCCCACAGCAAGGGGCAGGGATTGCCTGCCATGCTCTGCTGGCAACTGCACCATGTGCTTACAAGTACACCCCTAGAAACAGGGGGGCCCTGCAGTGATCAGATGAATACCTATCGTTGGAGAACTTAAGTGATAATTGCCAGTGTGTGAAATGGGGAGGTTCTGATGCCTCCGCTTTAAAGCAGAGATGTCAATTTGAAAATCATAATAGAGGTGTCGTTTCAGAACACACAATTATTTTTTACAAAGAATTAGGGCTTGTCATCTCCCAGCCCAGGCATGCAGAGATCTGGAGCTTTTAGAGCGGGATTCAGAAATGAAGAAGGCAAGAGTGCATCCTGTTTTCCTTGGCCCCCTGCCCCTTCGTCCCCCTGAAAATATTGCCCTCTTTCTCCTGTGGGGTCTCTTTTGGCAATACACTGTCCAGGAGTATCAGTGGTAGTTTCCCAGGCAAGTAGCCAGCCTCTGACTTTATGATTTAACTAGAGCAGTGGTTCTCAACCTTCTGGCCCTTTAAATACAGTTCCTCATGTTGTGACCCAACCATAAAATTATTTTCGTTGCTACTTCATAACTGTAATGTTGCTACTGTTATGAATCGTAATGTAAATATCTGATATGCAGGATGTATTTTCATTGTTACAAATTGAACATAATTAAAGCATAGTGATTAATCACAAAAACAATATGTAATTATATATGTGTTTTCCGATGGTCTTAGGCGATCCCTGTGAAAGGGTCGTTCGACCCCCAAATTGGTCGCAACTCACAGGTTGAGAACCGCTGGTTTAGCTCCTCTGAACTGAAATAGCAGATATCACCCAGACATCAAAGTCAGGCTGGGAAATTATATATCATGGGTACTAGTGACATCTTAGCTTCTAGGCGCAGGCTTTTCATTTTAGGTCACCGAGTTCTGGTAGTTATTTGTTTCCAGTGATTGGAGAAGATCTGAACATGTTTGTTGGCTTTAGGATATTGAAGGCTCTTTGCAAAAAGCTAACTGTAGGAGAGAAAGCTCTTTCTTTGGCATTCCTAGGAGTTGTGATATTTACTCGTCTACTAACTATTTCTTTCTTTATTCAACACCAATTGGAAACATATTTTTTATTCCTCAAGATAGTTCTTGTGTTGTAGCTGTAGAGAATTTAATGTTTCATCAGTGCTATGTGGGGGTGAGGGGTATGTGCTAGTCATAGTAATTGGCTCTCCTGATTTCATGTATTAGCAGTTAAAATGTCACATATATATGACTTGCCAGTCCACTGTATTGCTTGGGGAGCAAATGGTGCCAACAGATCTGTAGTAAGTAGGCACAGGGGATGCATGTTCCAAAAGAACCTCATCAGGGACTTCCCAGAGACAAAGCTTAACATTTTGTTTTGACTCTGATTTAAAGAAGTCTTGTAGTTAAGCTGGAGGTTAGGGTGGTAGGTAGACTTGGCAGGATTATAAAATGGAATCATTAAAAATGAAATGATCTAATTCAGCTCTTCTAGTTCAAGACTCTCCTTTGCAGGATTCCTAAAAAGTCATCTCATCTCTTTTCATACTCTCACTCCTCGGCATAGTGAAGGGTCAGATTGGCTTTCTAACTTAGCAGGATCATTTTCTAGGCAAAATACTTAAGAAGGATAAATGTTGGTCACTCTGGAGGGTGCTCCTTGCCAAAGGGCCTCTGCTTTCTAAGCCGCCATTTATAGGATAACACAACAGGGCGCAGTGATGTTCAGGACTAAACTCCAGAGTCCTTTGGGATGGAAGAAGCTTCTGGGTGTTCCAGGGCAGTCAGCTCTCTCAGATCTTGCTTCCATTCACCCGATTCCTATAGAACTAACTTATTAGTAATTAGTAAGTATTATTTATTTAAGATGGCATAAATGCCCTGAATACTGTTCTCATAATTTCACTTTTCTTTTTTCCTCTAGTCTATGAACCTCTCGTTACCCCTTCCTCTCACATTCTGTATTTCAGGACTCAAAGACATGCTATGCTGTTGTTTTATGTGCCCCTGTGAAAGGAAAACAGTCCAACTTCAAATACAGTAAATGTGGGGAGAAAGTATGTCTTAGAATTGAAACACCATTTCTGCTACTGTAAACAGTGATATCATTGAGGATTCAGGTTTTCAGCCAAAGAGATGTATTTTATTTTTATTTCTTTTAAAATATATTTTTATTGATTTTAGAGAGAGAGGAAGGAAGATATGAAGAGAGAGACACATCAATCGGTTGCCTCCTGCTCGCCCCCTACTGGGCATGGAGCCTGAAACCTGGGCATGTGCCCTGACCTGGAATTGAAGCAGTGACCTCTTGATACATGGGATGACACTCAATCTACTGAGCTACGCCTGCTGGGCAAGATGTATTTTATTATTGTCTTCTCTTCCTCATCCTTAAATTGTATTCTCTCTTCAGTGGTAGAATGGTTTAAAGCAGCGGTGCCCAACCGGTGGTCCGCGGACCACTGGTGGTCTGTGAGGTCCGAAAGGTTGGTGACCGCTGGTTTTAAGTGTGGGGATTATAGGCCTAGTCTAGGTAGGAAACATTTAACAGTTGGTTTTCCTGGGTGGGAAAGGTAGCAAGCCAGGTTGACAGGGCCTCTGCTGTACCAGGCTGTTAGAGGAAATGCTTCCGCAAGCCAGTTGCTGGGATAAAGTGACTGCACATGACTATACCTGGAGCCAGCTGGTTTTAATAACAATGAATTGAATTAACTCAATTGTAAAAGATTGGTAGCTGCTGTCCTTATTCTGCAGATCTGCTTTAAAGAGTCTGGCAGGGAGCCAGAGACCTGTTCTCAGAGAGCAAGATGCTGCCTGAGAAGAGCAATGTGCATTTCTTGCTGAGACCATTTCCTTAGGAACGTGTTCCATGTCAGGAGCCTGACTGACTGCCAAGGCACGTTTGAATTGGGAAACTGTGGCGGACATGGCATACTGGGGGGCCCATGGGCCATGTTTAGCAGATGTATTTTTAACTGGCCCATGTTGTACAAAAAAGGGAAAACTGTTTTAGCTAAAATTTAACAGGAGATTTTGTGCAAAAGTCCAGATTTCTGACTGCTCTTTTTTTGTTGTTGTTTGTTTGTTTTAATAACCATTTCTTTACTTATTTTTTGTTTTTGTTTGTTTGTTTTTTATTTTATTTTATTAAGGTATTACATGTGTCCTTATCTCCCCCCCCTCCCCCCCCGCCCCGACTACTCTTAATAAATAGTCAGATCCACCAATACTGAGCCCACATTCTAGCTTGGATTCTCAGTGGATACATACGCACTTTTACCTGCCTGGAGCCCAGAAGGTCCTGCAGTATAGCATAGTGGTTTGAAGCATTTGGAGCTGACAGACCTTCACTGGAGTCTTAGTGCTATCACTTATAGCTGTGCGCCACAGCCCAGTGTTCTTGTGTATATATAGTAATGCCTAACTGCCCAGGTGCTGGTGCTCTTTTGAGTTACAGTTTTGAGACAGGTGGTTCAGGGGATTGGGAAGTATTGCATCAAAAAGAGTGCTCAATAAAATATGTGTATCACATATGATCAGATGAACTTATGATTATATAATTAGCAATTTTTGTCAATTGTTAAGAGAGTCCCAGAAATTCTTACAAGGGTGTGAGCAGAATAGATGAGTAGAAGATAAGGTGATGTGGATTAGGATGACATGGAGGTGCTGAACACCAAGATAAATGTTGGCACTACAGGATAATCTCTAGTATGCCTAATTTCCCCCTCATGTGTTGATTCTAATCTCCTATTTGTTACCTGGAAGTACTGCAAATAGAAATAAGATCATGTCTCTGAAGCATTTGTTCATTTCTCACTGAAGAGCAGTTCTACACAATACAGTGGCCATATCCAGTGTAGGAGCTCTGTAGCTCTTCACTAATTTATGTCTCTAAGTACTTAGCTTGCAGGAAGGGTGTGATCCCAGGTAGCAGGTGTTAGCTGGCTGCAAAGGGGGATGTTATTTATCTTACCCCCCCATTTTCCTTAATGAATGACCTCTGAGTTGGTAATTGACAGGGATTATTGCCATTTTTTTAATCTCTGCTAGGAGGCTGCTGGAGTCTTCCCTCATTTCATTATCCCGTTATGATGGAGCAGGATCCAGAGAGCACCCAATTTACCCAGACCCAGCGAGGTAAGGCTGAAGTGAGAAATGGCACTAGGTGGGGGGGAGGGGCTGCCCTTGGGGTTGCCAATTGCTGGAAGCCCCATTTTGTGCCTCTCTGGTCCTGGTGCTCTTTTACTCTTGAGTTACAGTTTTGAGACAGGTGGTTCAGGTGATTGGGAAGTATTGCAGGTAAGTGAACAGAACCTCTGGTGACAGAGTTGTGACTGAGCTCTTATCCTTTGGGGCTCATTTCTGTGAATGTGGCACTAGAGGAGGGACCTGGGGAGGCCACTGGCAGAGTCACAGGATAGGATATATTTTTCTCTTCGATCAGTGAGACTGTTGCCATTCAGATGGACAGCCAAAAGGGAAATAAAAGTATTTATTAATAGGGAAATTACCTATAAATTCAAACAGATAAAGAATCCTTCTTGCTCTCATTTGAGAGAGAGAGTTTAGAATATCAGAAAGCAGAAATCAAGCTCATTTAGTTGTTGAATTTTTTGAGACTATCTGAAGGAAGAGATGACTGACAAATGGAACTAAATATAACAAGTTGGAACTTCATTAAATGCTTGACTTAATACTGATTTGAAAAATTCTTGAAGAAATAAAAAAAATTCAAATGAGTTGAAGACCCGCCTTAACCTGATACTGGTAACTGAGTACCAAGTTTGGAGTGTTTGAGTTGATGAACATTTGTAGTGAGAAGCCCTTTGCTGATTGTTAATGATCTAAAGAAGGGATAACCTGCACTTAAGCAGTGCCAGAGCACATTGTGAGGCTCTGCCCAAAGAAAAGAGTGTTTATAATGTTGGGGTTGGCAAGTTAATACAGGTCACATGAAGCTAAATGAGCTTTGCTCTGGTTTAAGAATTTCAAGTCTGAAAAACCTTTAGACCAAGTTGATTCCAGGGATATTGAATGATCTTGTTATTGGCACAGCTATGTCATGATGCTGAGCATTCTTTCTGAGATACTAATGAAAAGGTTCCCCATTATCCTCTTCCTTTGGATTGGCGAAACCAAGGATCAGGGAACATGGGGATTGACGACTTTAAAACAGGTAGACAGCTTGGATGATGATTGAAGCAGGGACATTTATTTTAGTCCATAATCATAATCGAAAATAATAAGCCCTAACTAAGAAAAGGAATATTTTCACATGAATCAAATACTCTGAAACACTGAGATAGAGAACTTTTTGTAGTTCTCTTAGGATAGCAATGGAAATCTCATTCTCAGAGTTTTTAACCTGACAAAGTTTATCAGTAATTCTTAAAGACCATAACTTGTTCTCCTTTTATGTTATTTTTCCTACTCAGAGCTCTTTATCACAGAACGTATCATACTTTATACTGTTGATGTTTTCACATTTTCCCTTTGAACACAAAAAATTTAAAATTTTTACTTGGAACACTTCAGAGTTTGATGGTTATCCAGCTCTTCAGTGGGAGGAGGATTGTGACCTCATTACTGGTGGTTTCATTTATTTTTTCTCTTAGATTCACCCTGTGCACAGTATGTATAGACCAGAGCCTTTGTGAGACATCTCAGCATTCAGATCCTTAGCTGCCCTCTGGATATCCAAAAGGATAAGGATAGGGATGTATTTGTAGTTAATAATTGTGCCAAGAATCCTTTTTAAAAAATCATTGATGCCTAGTTTTATAGCTTAGGGAATTTCTGTCCTATCCTATATAATAAAAGGCTAATATGCAAATCGACCAAATGACCAGTTGCTATGACACACACTGACCACCAGGGGGCAGATGCTCACCACAGGAGCTGCCTCCTGATGGTCAGTGCGCTCCCACAGGAGGAGGATTGCTCAGCCAGAATCTGGGCTCACTGCTGGAGAGCGCAGCGGTGGCAGGAGCCTTTCTTGCCTCCACAGCAGCATTAAGGATGTCTGACTGCTGGCAGGGAGTGGGCCTAAGCCGGCAGTCAGACATCCCCTGAGGGCTCCCAAACTGTGAGAGGGTGCAGGCTGGGTTTAGGGCTCCCCCCCCCCCCGCCCCCCTCAGTGCACGAATATTGTGCACCGGCCTCTAGTAGTGAAATAAATAGTGGGGTTACCTAGTGCTGAGATTGTGCCACTGCACATGAAATAACAATCTTATTGTCAGCTTCAACATTATTTCTCCCACTATCACCAATAATATTTGCAAGATTTTCCCATTAGGGTTGGTTATAAACTCAGGAATGAGTGTACTTGTGGTCACTTTTCAGAATCAATTCCAAAAACAATCTTTATTCTCCTCTTGAAACTTTTTTACTTTCTTTTCTAGACTGATTGATTGACTTGAGAATTTAGGCAATAATAGTTGATTTCTGCTGGAAGGTTTTTTTTTTATGTATTTGGTAGATATAGGAACAACTCAATAGTATTGACTTCTATTTGTTGAAAATAGAGGATTCTTGATTGATTTTTGCAAAATGCGTGGAACAGGCCCAAACGAATAATGAAAGTTCTACAAGTGAAGACTTTTAAGAAATGGTTCTTTTACTCTCATGATCTTGGCCAAAGCATCTGTGCATCCCATGCCCACCCACTGTATAAAGATAGCTATGTAAAGATAATTTGGACTCAGGTGCCAAATGCAGCATCTTGTTTCATAACATAGACATTTGAGTTCCAAAGATTGTCAGCTGGCCTGCTTGGGAATCCATTTGATGGTTGGCCACAGGACCACCACCTCTGATGACAGTTATTTGAGAAGCAGCCTCAGTTCCTACAGCAGTTGACTCCAGGATCTCCTTTGGCCTGAGTCAGTAGATTTATTGAAGATTTGCCCAGAGACTTTGCCAGGATTAATGAAAGGTCAGGCAGCAAGATGTTTGTAAATACTTTTCCTACCATTTGGATATAACTCTTTTATTTCCATTCTCAATCAATTTTTCCAGGTTTTCATTAAAAAAAAAATAGAGAGACATGCTTTTTTCTTTTTATATTTAAACATATAAGTTCAGATCCTCAGTAATCCTCATTAGGATTGCTGTGTTCCCTTTTAATTTTTTAATTAAATACAGAAATATATTGTTTATATACATATTAGTATATACGTACCATTCTTCCATTTCCCCCCCCATTTAAAATTATATTTTAGAGGGCTTTCATGTGTGCAGATAGGGATAATTTATTCTTTTTAATAGCTATATAGTGTTTCTTTGTATGGATATAGTTTGTTTAATCTGTTAATGGGCATTTGGGGTGTTTCCCAGGTTTTCATTAATTCTAATCTCTCTGTATCTTTGTATCCTTGTGTGTTTCTGTAGGATAAAATTTCTAGTGGAATTGTTGAGTCAGTGTGTACCTCAGGCAGGTTTTAAGTTTGGAAATTTCTTAGTAATCCTATTAATACTATCATGTAAAACATTCTTCTACTGTTTGTCTCTCACACTCTCAGTTAATAGCCTCAAATTATGTAACGATCTTGTGAAAGATGGAGGGAAAACTTGACAAAGAAGGGAATGTGGCAAGTTGTATGGGACACTTGACATTTTCATGGAATATGAAGATACTAAGCAGCTGGAAGAACGTAGGTCTACTCTAGACTGTTTACTGAGAATAGTCTAGTAAGGGAGAAAAAAAACAATGACTGTTGCCTTCTGTACTGCTCAGTTTCCATGTAGCCTCTGATGCTCTCTTGTAAGACAGAAAAATTTGTTTTTATCCTTTTAGGTTTTTCTGTTTTTCCGAGTTTATTTTACTCTCAGTCTACATCTTTTATTACAAATATCTATGAATAAATTGTTAAAGGAGAGATAAGAAGCTCAAAGAGATCATTTTGAGGAGCTAGAACAAATCTGGAGCATGTCTGTTTGTTGGAGAAAAAAGGGGTCCTCGTGAAAATGCCTGTACATGCCTTCGTTAGTGATCTCAGGTTTCCTGTCTCCTGGCCGCTTCCTCATCTAAAACGGAAAGAAGAGATGACTTGATGATTGCTGTGATCCCTTTATATCTTGTATTTTAGGTATGGATGATTGAGGGAAGGCTGTGAGTCTTAAAGGGGGTCGGTCCCTTAAGAAACTAAAAAGAAAAGTCTAGTGTTATTCTCTTGGGAGGGGACAGCTGTTGATCAGATAAGGACTGATTAAACAGTCTCTTTGCCTTATCGCAGAACAGAAACACTGGTGGTAATCCGATAAGCATTGTGAAGTACAAACCTCCTGGTGAGTTAAATGCCCTTTATTTTTTATGTCTCCGGATTCGCCTCAGCAGGGAGAAGCCAGGGGAGAACTGGATTTACTGTCGTTCACAGTTTCCCCCACATTAGTGCTAGTTTGTATTTGTCCATCTCTGTCTCTCTCAGATTATCTCCTGCTGCATACTACGCTCAGAGGATGATCCAGTATCTTTCACGGAGAGACAGTATTCGCCAGCGCTCCATGCGCTACCAACAGAACCGGCTTCGCTCTTCCACCTCCTCCTCTTCCTCAGACAACCAGGGTCCATCAGTAGAGGGAACCGACTTGGAAATTGAGGACTTTGAGTAAGTACATACTCAGCTTGCTTCTTC